GAACGCGGTTTAACAAGTCCAGAATTAACAATTTATTGCGCAAACATTAAAAGAGTCAAGAACGTGCGCCAAATAGCACTAGATAGAGCAAAGTAGTCTTTATATACTAAAAGAGTCTCAATTAGAAACCAGCTTTTAGTATTTTTGGGAAATTTTTTAAATCGGGCTTAGTGCTTTTACTTAGAACTCAATTTTGCAGCGCGGGGATTAAAAATTAAATGCGCAAAATTCAGAAAAGCTTAAAACTTGCGGTCGACTCCATGAGATAGAGCTAAATGTTCTCTCTTTATATCCAGCGAGTTTCAAAGTGATATTTTACTCGATGATTTTTTTACAAAATTTAACTCCGACTTACGGGTTTGAGGCATAGCGCGATCTTGCCAGAGCCGAATTAAAAATTAATTGCGCAAAGACCAAAAGAGGCAAGGAAGTGCAGTAAATGGCGTTAGATAGAGCAGGGAAAGATTGATATACTGAGCGAGTTTCAGTTTGAAATTCGCTTTGCAGATTTTTTGGCGAACTTTCAAACTTTACGGCCTTTTGAATAGCGCAGATTTGCAAGCCTTGGAATAAAAATTGTTTACTCCAAAGCGACGACAGACAAAGAAAGTGAGCTTTATTGAACTAAATAGAGTAAAGTACAGTTTATAAAATCAAGTGTGTTTTAATTCGAAACCAGCTTTCAAATTTTTTTGGCAAATTTTTAAGTCTGACTTACTGCTTTTAGCTCGCGCGGATTTACAGGAGGAGAATTAAAAAATTATTGCGCGAACATCAAAAGAGGTAAAACGATGCCCTCAATGGCACTAAATAGAGAAAAGGACGGTTTGTATACCAAGTGACTCTTGATTGGCAATTTTTTGGCAAATTTTTAAATCTGACGTGGTTTTTTACGTCGAACGCGGTTTAACAAGTCCAGAATTAACAATTTATTGCGCAAACATTAAAAGAGTCAAGAACGTGCGCCAAATAGCACTAGATAGAGCAAAGTAGTCTTCATATACTAAGGGAGTCTCAATTAGAAGCCAGCTTTTAGTATTTTTGGGAAATTTTTTAAATCGGGCTTAGTGCTTTTACTTAGAACTCAATTTTGCAGTGCGGAGATTAAAAATTAAATGCGCAAAATTCAGAAAAGCTTAGAACTCGCGCTCGACTCCATGAGATAGAGCTAAATGTGCTCTGTATTAGCAGAGATTTTCAAATTGATTTTCCGTTCGAAGATTCTTTGGCGAATTTTCAAAAATCACTCCTTTTATCGGCAGAGCGCGGTCATGCAAGGTTCTGAATAAAATTGCCTGCTCCAAAACCAATAGAGCTCACAAAATGAGCTCAACAGCATTAAATAGAACTAGATCGGCTTTAAAAACCGAGTGATCATCAATTAGAAAAAACGAAAAAAAGTTTTAAATTTGATGTTTTGCTCTTTCGAGCGCAGCCTATGATTACAAATTATTTTCTCGAAAATCAAAAAAGTTTCTTTTAGACACTGAACGGCACTAAAAAGAGTAAAATTCCCTCAATGGAGCAGTCAAAGAAAGTAAATTTGCATTGATTATCTGGACTTCTGTCCTTAGATAGAGCGCAGTTTTGCAAGCCGTTGAAAAAAAATTACTCAAAAACTCCAAAAGTTCTCAACATGATAAAGCGAATTAAAAAGATGAAAGCTCAGTGTATATACTGAGATAATTTCAATTTGAAACTCGCTCGGAGACTTTTTGGCTGAATTTTGTAAGCCTCAGCATAAAAATTAATCGATCGAAACTGATCGACCATTTGTTGAAGCCTTACCATTAACATAAATGCTTTCCCCATTGGAAAATATCCTCAAATCCAGACTCCCTCTCACATCCAGTACGGCACTTCTAACAGTACTATCGGCAAAACTGGTCGATTCATTCGTGGCAGGCGAAGAGAACAGCAGGCACTTTCTTGATGGCTTATTTGCATCGGGTTCTACCAAAGGAGTAGCCGACAGAATGTTCTTATTCTCCAAATAGCAGCCCCTCAAAGGAGTATTTTCCACGTCTTGGAAGACTGATAGCGAACTGAAGGATTCTTCGTCACTGGGAACGAAAAACTGCTTCTGATTGGACCAGAAGGGCGACACTGTAGCGGATTCCATCACCGAGCTGTTCAACCTGCGGAGTTTCTGCCGAAAATGTTCGGCCTTTCTTCGCCTGATGCATTTCTGCCGTTTCAAAGTATGGTCGATTTCCACTTTGGGTTTCTTGGCTTCTTCCGCATTAACCGGCGTTAACGAGGTGCGTTTTCTTGAAACCTCCCCATCCACACACCGCTCATTGTAGGTTTCGTTGATCGGAATAATCGTCTGCTGCATGGTTAAATTATTGTTGTTGCATTTGCAGACAAAGTTGCTGTCCATCTGATGAGGGTTCTCATTGGGGCTGCTTTTGAACCCGGAGTCCGAAGAAGCGGCCGAATGCACTTCCAGCCGCTTCAACCCATTCTCATTCTCATTCTCCTCCTCTTTAGCGTCGCAAACCTTCTCCAGGTCCTTGCTGTGGATGTTCACCACCATGCTGGCGCTCGGGGAAAGTTGAGCTGAAGAGTTTTCCAGCAAAGCGTCCACGAGCTTATCCAGGGACAAGTCGTTGATGAATGAGGAATCATTCGCTTCCTTGCTGCTTCGGCTGAACTGCAGCTCGAGGATTTTCTTCACTAGTGGGGACACCCGTGGGGCATCCAGTTTTTTAGCCCGAAAGCCTGGCAGAGTTGCTTGGTCGGCTGCATCTTCAATTGCAGGGGTTTCCACTGGTTCAGCTTCAAGATCTGTGGGGACATTGGGGGCTTTGCAGCTGCACAGCTCGGCCAGGTAGGACTCAATGTGGGAGTCCACCGCCTCAAAGGGAGTGAAATAATTGGAGTTCTCCCCCACGCCCTGGTGCGCCTCCAGGCACTCTTTCTTCTTTTTCACCTTGTACTTCGGACTGGAGATCCTCCGGGCTTTTTCCTGATGCGACGCCACGTTGCTCAGATCGCGAAAGGGACTGAAGGCTTCTTGGACGGAGGTGTTTTTGATTGGAGTGGAGTGGAACTGGTTCTCCTTATCGTCGTCCAAAGCGTCCAAGCTGAAGCGCTTGTGGTTGCTGGCTCTTCGGCCGGCGCTCGAACATCTTCGCTTCTTCTTCAAGGGAGTGCGGGCAATTGAATCGGCGCTTGGAAAGTTGGAGGAAAATCGTGCTGGTTTGTCGCCGGTGTCGCGCCTGGATGGGATGGTCCACTTCAGCATCTTCAGCTTCTGAAAGGAACAAAAGCCATTAAACGTCGTTTTTTAGAGCGTAAATCCCATTCATCCGCCTGATGAAGGGGAGATTCAAATTAGCATCCTATAGATTCGCTTCAAAAGACATCATGCTGTTTTATTTTCGAGATTTCTGTTATGATACCACCAGTTGTATTAGGTGGTGTGTCCATTACTCATTTGCATGGGCGATAAGAGGGAAAGGGCCTGTAAAAGCCAGGAAATTTATGGTTTCTGGCTGCACATTTTTTTTTTTTTGGTGTGTTTTTTATATTTTTCCTTCTAAAAGCTTTGAACAACTGCACCACGTCGCCCAAGTCACGTTCACGGTAGCTAAACACAATCGGTGAGGTACTTGCACGATAAATTGGCCCGATAATGGAAATTCAAATGCGCAAGGGGTAGGAACTCTACCGGCAATTTTATGAATTTTAATTAAATATTTATCAGCCCCTTTAGCCGGCAAAGTTCGCCTTGGGTTGGCGATTAATCTTTACCTCTGATTAGCGCACAAAATTAGTTGGCTTGTGGGTTGAATGCGCAAACATCGCTTTATTTGAACACACAAAAAGAGTGAAAGATTTCAGGTTTTTGAGTGTTTTTCTAGTTTCGTTGGCTTCCTTGGCTCTATTTTGAGCGGTTCTGGCCTTTAGTTGCCGATAACTTTCCTATTATAACCGCAAAATATCGTATATAGAGTTTCGTCACTCGCAAGCTTCTAGAGCGTGAAAAACGCACATAAAAACAGGAAAATTTCTCGGACTTTTTGACTATTGTGAAAAACTTTTTTTTTACCGTTTCGGCGAGTGGCTGGCATCTCAGTTGCTTCACTCAGTTGTTCACTCAGTGAGAATTGCAAAACCGCGGTTGAAAAAATCCGTAGGTTATTTAGAATTTTTTTTCTAAAAACCTTCAATGAGAATTTCAGATTGAAATTTGCTCAATATGTGGAGCAGATCTTGCTCTATCTAACCCCGCTTAGGTCCTGTTGCTGTCTCTACCGGTTTTTGGGAAATTAATTTTTAATCGCGAGTGTCGCAAGGAAGTCTGCGTAAAATCAGTAAGTGGAGTTTAGAAATTTACCTAAGAAGTCTCGAGAAGAGTTTCTAGATGAAACTCCCTTGGTATATAAATCGAACCTTTTTCTAACTAATACCATTAACCGCACGTCTGTGCCTCTTTTGCGGTTGGCGCAATTAATTTTTACTTCGAGCCTTGCATAGTCGCGCTATCCGTCAAAGCACGAAGTGAGATTCATAAAATTGTAAAAAACTCCTGGAATCGAGTTTCTAATTGAAACCCGCTGGGTATATAAAACGCAATCTGCTCTATCGAATGTCATTAAGCGTGCATCTTTGGCTTTTTTGGTAGTCGCGCAATTAATTTTTATTAAAAGTCGTGCAAAACCGCGCTTTACCTAAAAGCAGTCAGATTAGCCAAAAAATTACCTAGAAAATCTTTAAATTAAAATTCGCTCAGCTGATAAAGCGTACATTTTTCTAGCTACGCCATTAAACACATGTTGTTATCGGTTTTGGTGTTTGCACAAGAAATTTTGTTTTGACCAGTGAAAATTCGCGCTCTACGTAGTGAGTGAGTGGGATTTAAAAAATTTGCAAAAAATCCCAAAGGCCAGTTTCTAAATGAAACTCACTGACTATATAGACCGTAATTTACTCTATCAAATGGCGCTGAGCATACGGCTTTGGGTCTTTGGTGTTAGCGCGATAAATTTTGATTCAAAGTCGTGCAAAACCGCGCTTCACCTAAAATCACGGAGATTTAAAAATTTGCCGAAAATTCCTCAATAAAAATTTCAAATTGAAATTCGATCCTTAGATGAACCACACCTTTTTGGATCTAAGGCCATCAAAGGCGAGTTTTTATCTCTTTTGGTGTTGGCGCAATTATTTTTTTCCTGAGTCGTGCGCTTTTCGCAAGATCAGTAAGTCAAATTGAAAAGTTTGCCAAAAAATTATCAATCCCGATTTCTAATTGAAACTTCCTGGATATATTGAACGTAGCCTGGGCTATTTAATACCATTGAACGCACATTTTTATATCGCTTGATCTTTGCGCAATTAATTTTTTTATCGGGTCGTGCAAATCCGCGCTTTGCGCAGTATCAGATTTGAAAATTTGTCAAAAAATCCTAGATAGTCGTGTCTAAATAAACCTCCCTCGGTATATAACCCATACTTTGTTCTATGTAATGCCGTGAAGCTCACCTTATTACCTCTTTTGGTGTTGGCGCAATTAATCTTTTTCGAGTGTAGTAAAAAATGAAAAATCCAAACCAGCCCTGATGATGACTGGATTGAATGCTGCTCCACATTAAATCGCCGACAAGTTTACCCTTGCACAACTGCATTCGCCCCTTCGCAAAATCCCGCACTTTTTCCATTGCATTTTTCTGCAGTGTTTTTTTTCCATTCGGGTACAGATGCCTTGCAACATCTCGCCCCGATTTCAAAAGAATCTCTCTCTTTCACTTCCGTAAGGAATTTGAAAAGATCCAGCCAGGTGATACATTTAACCTTCCTAAGCGTCGAGCACAGGCCCAACAACAATGCCTGATCTAATTTTAAATAACACAATATATGAGAGCAAAGGGACTAAATGTTTCGTTCCTGAAAAATCAAATTGAAATCGAAAACGACTTTCTCACGAACGATTTGCAATTAAAGACCATTGTCGAGTCGCTTAGTTGGGAATTTGTTTGTCTATGACTAGGCGAAAAACTCCTGTTTTCCATTATCTAGCGGTCTAGATCTAGGCGATAGACCAGTTTGTAATTAGCCAAAGGAATGTATGAGTATTGTTAATTTATTAAGGACATTTTGGAGGGCACTTTCAATAAAAACCGTTCGAAACTGCAGCCAGCATCGTAAAACAGCATATTTAATTTACTTTCTGCCCCTAAGAAGGGGTGGCCTGGCTAATAAGATGCAAAATATTCAAAGACAACATGTGGGAGACGTTTAGGGCTCGTGCCCGAACTTCTAACTGGAAAATTATTCGAGGAAAACGCTTAAGAATGCTTGTTCGTTTCCATTTGCTTGGTCGCTGATATTTACTGGAACGACATTCGTTACGAATTGTTGATTGTTCTTGAATGCATTTCACGCCTGTTCGATTTCTCCCGAAAACTATCGCGTGACAATTAGGGTTGCATTTCCACCTAACAAACGTTCTGATTGTCGCCCTCGAATTTCAAACGAAAATCACCACACGAATGGTTTACAGTCTGTTGACTCAGTTTGTTAAGGGCCAGTTTAAGTATATAAATACAATTGTGTGGCAAAAATCAGTGGAAAAGAGTTGGGGCGAGAGACAGCTTCGAGTAAAAAAATTTTGCAAATTTCGAGTTATTTCCGGGCTTTTTTACTAATTACGGCGTTCCAATTAGAGACATGGTCAGAATTTCCACAGGAGTGCTAAATTCGACTGTTCCCACCCCGATCCGACTGAACTAAGCAAAACTAATTTTCCATTCGGGAGCGTAACTGAAATCGGTTGTACCTCTCGCACTCATAGGCGTGCGAGAGAGATGCAAGACGGTCTGCGCGAGCTGCGTTCCAAATTGATACATTCGCAGCTCAAAATTCCGCAGTTTCGAGTACGGGGAAATTCGAAAAAAATTGCCACAATTTTGACTCGTGGACTTTATTGGGCTTTCCACCTGAAATTATGTGGAAATTGTGGAATAATTGATAATTCTCGGGTTATTAGGAATTTGGTCGTGATGTTTCGCTAGCACGCATGGCTACCATCTTCAGAGGTTTTGTCTTCTCTAAAGATTCTGCTGCTAATGAAATTTCTTTCTTTTCTTTCTGCTTTCTGGCAAAAGCTAATAGAACTGAAAAAAATTCAAGTTTATTTCAAATACTTCTGATTAAACACAGAAGCAAACATTTTAAGATTCAGTTCAACAAAGCACTTATATAGAGCAAACACCTGCAAAACGTGGCACATTCTGCTTCAGCTGAAATAAAACTTTTGAGGCGTTTGACCAAAACTGTTCTGATTCCCTTTGGTTAAATGTAGTAGAAAACTAACGTTTTTTGTCTTGGCCCCCTTTCATCAAAGCACCACCATAAGGCGACTTTTTTTTCATTTCCTAATTCAAATCGATGTTTTATTGGAATTTTATGCCCGTTTAAACATCTCTGGCAATCAAATGGTTCCTTAATGGTACCGGCAGGTGCGAAACCCGTCAAGCACCTGTGTTGTGCCTAATTTTCTTGAAAAGTTTAATTAAAAGGTAGCACAATGAGTGATGAACGAAGTGGTTGATTGCTCAATAAACGAGCGTTTGGGACTTTTGGGTGAAGAAGTGAAAACAGTAAAATTCAACCGCCGAAAGGCCCAAATAGGTGAACTTTGATACGAAATCCCACAGGCCCGGAGTATTAGAACTAGTTCAGGCCAAGCACCTTTCCTGGCTGGTGATTTATAAAGATAGGAACCTTTTTCATAGGTAGGCCTTTCAGAACTAGTCTCGCTTATTCGCCATGGGACTTATGGGAAAACGACCTTTTTCCCCTAGGACGTGCATAAATTTACCCTTATCACTGTTGAGACAGAAGGAAATTATTTTTGTGCATTTCATTACGGCAATAAAGAAGTGGGATTGTTGAGGACTTAATGGGAAGATGCAACAGTTCCGGAATGATTAAGGAGCTAAAAGTTCTGTTGAAAAAATATTGTTAATTTCATGAAACAAACGTCGTCACGCTTAAGGAGCATGTAAAACCATATGGGGCCTCTTGAACCCCTTTTCGCTCCACCCGAATGATTGACGCATGCTAAATATTTAACAGATTCAAATTCCAAAATAGGCCCAGATGGCCGGGCTTTTATCGCGCACGAAATGCGAAAATTGGCCCAACTAAAACAGCGAAATCGATTAGGGAAACGGCCGTTGAACAAACCAAAGCGAAGTCCTCAAGTTGCCGATGTAAATCTTATAATTACCGCTACAATTAAGCATTAATGCTGCATAATCACAAGTCGGGTGTGCATTCCCATGATGATTAGCTCACAAGAATGTTAATAACACGCATATTTAAACCCATGTGCATTCAAAGCGCAACTTCAAAGGGATTACTTGGGCTTTGTGGGTAAAATAAAATTTCGCATGCTGTTTTGCCCATTCAATTCCTTGGCGCCCTAAATAAATAAATATTTCGTCTATATCTAATTGGCCAGACCAGAAGCCAAAGAGCGCAATAGGCAAATTACGATCTGGAGACCAAATCCGTTAAATCCTTCATGGTTTCTTCCATTTAGACGGGGTTAACAAGGTATTTGAAACCGGAAAAAGTGGGAAGATCGCACCTAATCCGATCAAGCAGATGGTGTGGGTAAACTGAAATTTCGCGCCGATTAACCCAAGAAAAAGCCTTTAGAAGATCGTGCCCCCATAGGGCCTAAACAAATATTTTCCGGGATCGGCTCTGATGTTACCTGAAGTGGCCATCTGAAGATCCTAAGTAAACCTGGGGGTTCAGCTGATGTGCCAGATGAATTTTCACAACTCCCAAACCAACGGACACTACTGATGAATTTTCCTGATCGATTTTCCCACAGGTTTAACTCCCCAATAGTCAATCAAAGGAAAATCCGGTCCACCCGAATAAACCGAAAGCACCGTCCAGCCCTTCCAAAGTAGCGTTTTTTTCAATGTGGGGCTCATAAAAACAGGCCCATAACGCCGTTAAAAACTGCTACATGAAGAGTTATGGGACAGATATAAGGGCATATCGGTTTTATGCAAAACAGCCAGCAGGTTAAAACCGGAAGGGACGGTTTGGTGTGGATACAAATTGAGATGAACAACTACGTCTGCTAAATGTGAATCAAGTTGGAAAATCTTTTGAGCAAATGAGGCAATTGTTGATAGTTTGAAGAAGCAAATCCTGACTCAAACACCCAAATGGTAGACTGTAAGTAAATGCAATTAATTCGTTAATTCGAATTGAAATTAGGTGATGGTCAGTGGAGTGAATGCGGGAAAAGGGCTGCTGAATTATGGACTTTTGCCCAGTGGTCTGCTTTGTGATGTAAATGAGGAACAGGTTAAAAAGGGAGGTGCTAGACTTTGTCTGAGTCTAGCTCAATTTGTAGAATGGGTTTAAATCAGAGCGCGCTAAAGGCAGTTTAAAAAAATTGAAAGGGAGGAAGCCGGACGCAAAATCTTCGGAAGGGAAAATTAGGCCTAATCGAATTAAGGGTTTAACACTTCTGAAGATGCGAGCCACTTGTGCTAGCGAAATGTCGCATAGCAATCGGCATTGGTTGCAACTTGAAAAAAAAAGTTCAAGTGGCATAAATTTTCAACTCAAGTTCGGGCATGAATTAAAAATACTTCCGCATTAGCGTTAAACCCGAAAATTTCACAATGTTTGCTCTAAAGTATTCTGCTGCTGCCGAAATAAACTCTTTGGAGCAAAAGCTCACAGAGCCTGAGGAACATTTTTTATTCCTGGTCTTGCCAACAGTTACATAATTTTTAAAACTTTCAAGTTTGCTCATGAATTAAAAATACTTTCGCATTAACACAAAAGCTGAAAGTTTCCCATTGGTTTCTCAAACGAATTCTGCTGCAACGGCAATAAGCACTTTAGAGCAAAAGCCAACTGATTTTGAGAAATAATTCTTCTTCCTGGTCGGGTTTGTAGCTTACTGAACTTCGGAAAATATTTGTTCTTCGTAACCCTGCCGAGATTAACATTCTTTTTTAAATTTCAACTTTGCTAATGAATTATAAATACTTCTGCTGAAACACAGAAGCTAAAATTTTAAGGTTAAATTCAAAAAAAAGTTCTGCTGTAATTGAAATAAACTGCTGAGCGCAAAAGCTTGCAGAACGCAACAAACAATTTTTTACTTGATAAATGAAAAATGTACCTGCATTAACGTCGGAACGGAAAATCTCAATAAACTACAATAAAAGATTCTGCTTCAGTCGAAATAAACCTTTCTAGGCAAGAGCCTTAATCTAAAAGTCATTAATTAAAAATATCAGCTGCAATTTTCACAGCACATCCAGAAAACAATTTTTTTTCGGAGAAAAAAGCATTCAAGCGTCGAACTAAAAATTTTCTTCTTATACTTTGGTCAAGTCGGCACGTAAATTAATTTACGACTAAGCCGTGAAGGTAGCAAGCTCGAACGTAGCTACCGGCAAGCCATGTTGCGTCTCTCTTCGACCCCTGTGGATGCGAGTGAGACGTCCGACGCTAACTACTTTCCTGAATGGAAAATTTAGCTTTTCACATTGTTTGCAATTTTGCAGAAAAATCGACTAAACTCCCCCTGAGTGGCAGGAAGAATGCAAAGTTCAATAGTGGCAACTAAATTAACCAAAAACACGCATAAAGACTACGATATTAGCCAATCTTCAAAACCCCCATTCCACGTTGTCACCCTGAAAAGAATTACCATTTTCATCCCATCAGCGACTACCCGACCATCTAAATCCATTAATAACCCAACAACACTACAATAAATAGATATCAGCCGGGATTTCGTCCCATCATCCAGAATTTCCATTAAAAGTCGTGTTGTTACACATTTCAACTGGGCATTGTGCGGCCAACAATGGAAAAATAATACAGTAGAGTGGCAAAAAGTGCATTATCTGCCATAGCAATTGGGCCGAAATCCACAGGGGAGCAAAATAAAAGTTTTGCAAGTCACTCGTAGGCTGAAAGCCCTGGAAGGGTAGTATCGTCGATCGATGACGTATTGATTAATGAATTAGTGAAATTCCCAGTTTAGGTCAAATGGAAAATCAGAAATGAAAAGAAAAAAATCATGCAAACATCTGTATCCTGTGTGATTTGCGCCCACATGGTTGCCCTTGCGATACGGTTTCAATTAGGATCTAAAGCAAATTTACCGAAGGAATAATGTGTTGCGCTCACCTGAGTTTACACAAATCTTAAGAATTATTTATTATATCATAAGGCAGATGGTGTGGGTTAACCGCACGCGTTTGCGGTCACCTGCCTTTAGGTGGGTGTTTAAAAACACTGTTTTCAAAAATACTTAAATTTAATGACAACCTTTGAATGGAAATGCTGCAATTACAAACATTTGCTTTTGTTTTAGTCGTAGTGATAATCATTAGAGGCAACGCAGATTTAGATCAAGAATAGGATTTTGTTTGCAAGTGGCTTAATGACTGTCTAATTAAAAGTGTTTTCAGCCCTCAGCACTTTCATTAAAATTTCCAGCGCCATTCACGCAAATAATGAGCTTTCAAACTCCGAAAGCGCGGTTTTCAAGCCAACTTTCATGATTGTTAAAAAATCGGCAGACCATTGAAGATGGGCGGAATTTCTTGCAATTAGTCGATAGTTAAGGTGGTTGATTCCTTGTTAAAAAATGTAAAAAAATGTCCCTATGTTGCTAACTACGAACTTTTGGGAATCTTCTTGGAAAAGACAGCTTAAATTCGACATGGCTTACCAGATTGACATCAGATAAATCCAAGAAAAACAGTGACAAAACGGCACATTTCACTCGAAAATCGAAAAATCCACACAAATCGCAATCATCCGTTCTTTAGGTGTTTTCGGCGCGAAATCTATCGGACGATTGTCGGAGGTCGGGCCGGTCGGCAGTTACCTGGTCAGGTATGTATTTTCAAGCACCCCTATATTCGCTCTCTTTTCGCCCATTGTTGGGCACTTTTCCTCTTTTTCCCACTCTTGCACCACCCATTCGAACAATTAACGTATGGGAGGTGATGGTAATCCAGAGTGAAGTAGTAGGAATCATACTTGATTTGTGTCTTATTGGCTTCTTGGCTATGGAAGGACGATTATGAACTTGAGCCCCAAAAAAGTTGCTTTTTGAGGAAACAAATGATCAAAACTGCCAACTCACAAGACCCAAATGCGGAAAATCATGAAACTGTTGAGTTTTTTAAGCGTTTAGGGTGCTTTGGAAAGGAATTTCTTCCTGATGAACGCACATTGCAAAAGCGCCACGCGTCTAGACGTAAGAACAGATTTTAACAAACGCTTTAATGTTTACCAAAAATTATAAATTTTACTCTTAAAATAATACACATTTTTCCTATCATTAAGGAAAAATTCCAGTCTTTAGCTCCATGTGTTTAGTAGGGAGGAATTTTTAAAACCGCGCTAGTAGAAAAGCGGCGTGTGAAAAGCGAAAAACCGACTTTCAACGCGTTCTCAATCAAAGAAAGCGAGTTTTACAGCAGGAAAAACTGGACATTTTTTCTATCTTGGAGTAAAAGCTCAGGTTTGTAGCCTTTTATCCGTAGAACTGAGGCATTTTTTAAAACCAGTTGGTAGAAAAGCTGAAGGCGGATTTTAGCAAATGTTTAAAATTCTGCCAGCCAAAGCAGAAAGGTGCATTTTGCTGCATAAAGAAATACACGTTTTTTCCATCCATGGCTTTAGCGATTCGCTGTTAGAAGTTTTTAAGTCAGAGCTGGGCGAAGCGCCAGGCGTCTGGAACTGAAACCCCACTTTAACAAATGTTTAAAAATGTATCAGCATGCGCAAAAAAATGAATTTTTACCCATAAACAATCACATTTCTTCTCTACCTTTGTGCAAAAATTCAAGCCTCGAGCTCTTTGCGGCTAGTAGTGAGGAATTTTTAAATCCGCGTTTGCAGAAATCTCGCGTCCATAACGAAAGACCAGTTTTAATAGGTTTTTCAAAAGTTTCCAGCAGGCTTTCCAAAATCAGTTTTATAACTGGAGAAACTGTACATTTTTCCTATTTTCGAGTGCAAACTCATGTTTATAGCTCTTTGTGTGTGGGACTAAGGAATTTCTTAAAAAGAGTTTGCAGAAACGCCGCACGTTAAAAGCTAAATCCAGATTTTAACAAATTGTGAAAAGATTTCTAGACAACGCACAAAAGCGCATTTTGGTACATAAAGAAATACATATTTTTCCTAACTTTGCGCCAAAACTCTGGTCTGCAGCTTTTGGTTGTTAGAAGGTAGGAATGTTTCAAACAGAGCTTGCAGTTGCGTCAAGCCGCTTGAACTTAAGACCGACTTTCACAAAATCATAAAAACAAAAAAAAGCTGATACAAAACGGCGTATTTTGTCACATAAATATACACACATCTTTCCTGTTGTTGTACCAAAATCCATGTTTCTAGCTGTTAGTTGTTAGAAGGCAGCATTTTTTAAAGAGAGCTTGCAGAAGAGCATCGTTTCGAGAACAAGACAGACTTAAACCAAAAAAAAAAATTTTACACCCAGCCGCAAACATTGCAAATTTATTTTTTTGGTTTGAAAAAAAGCTTTCTACCCTAGCGTGAGGCAAAAATGCAAATTTCTAACTCTTTTCCAAGGTAAAATGTGCATTTCTCTTCATGTAGGTTTCTCACATTTACCATAAAATGCCCAACTTTGAATTTTTTCAGGCAAACATCCAACCTTCCCATATAGGCAAAATCAACAATAGCCCGATTGAAAAACTGCCCGTCCATAAATTAGGCCAAGTTTCCAGCATGGGGTTTCAACAAAAACCGAAAGAAAGTCGTTAGTCATTCGACAAAAGCTGTCTATTTCCCTTATTTGCAATTTCTACCTTAAGAGGTCAGAGATTAAAGAGGATCAGCAGTAAGTTTTCGAAAATAATTGGGTCTGTTCCCATTTAGCTGGCCGACTGCCGACAGATGTTTGCCCGGAAAAAAATGGGGATTTGCGGGATTAACCCATAACTAATAAGAATTGCATGATAATTTCAAGAATTTCTCAGTTTTTTCTCAGCAGTACAAAAGGCAAGTTTTCTTCTTGTCGTTGAACAAGGATCGAAAGAGAAACCGGACACTGAAGAGAGACTGATAATGATGAACATACGAAGGGGTTCATTTTTCGCACGAGCCAAAGATTTGATGCATTTCCGCAGAGAAGTTGTATCTAAGGCCTGGCTAATTTCGCGGGGGTATCAAAACTGGTTTTTAACGGGTTTTCGGTTCTTAGAGTGTGAGGCATGATCCGATTGTATGAGATGCAGCCAAAATTTTCTTCTTAGCCAAGCTTCTGCAAGCTCTGTTTGAAAACTTTCGTGCTTTGCACAACAAAGAGCTTGAAACTTGAACTTTCGCTCAAAAATGTGAAGATTCATAATTGCTTGTATGGTTAAACTGGTGTTTCCGTTTTGGCTGGAAAAGTTTTAAACAGTTGCTAAAGTTGCTTTTCAGCTTTGATGTGGGGCGTTTCTGCAAGCGCTGTTTGAAAAATTCTGCACTTTTGAACGCAAAGAGCTAAATACTCGAGTCTTCACTCATAAGCAGGAAAAATATGCAGTTGTCTATGGGATAAAATTCGCTTAGCTGCGATGGTTAAAAATATTTTAAAAATTTGTTAAACTCGGTCTTTTATCGAGCAATTAGGCACGCAGCGCTTCTGCAAGTCTTGTTTGAAAAGCTCCTACCTTCTACCAATGAACAGATAGAGGCATGAATTCTGGCACAAGGATAGCAAAGATTCTTACTTGTTTTTGTGGAAAAAGGCGTTTTTCTGCGAGGGCTTCAAAAATTTTCAACATTTGTTAAAGTCAGTCTTTAACATTCGACGTGTGGCGTTTCTGCAAACTCTAATTGAATAATTCTGCAGGCTCAGCTCGAAAAGCTACAGACTTGAGCTTCATGCAGAAGTAGAAAACTGTGCGCTGCTTTCTATTATACAACCATATTTGATCAAGTTGTGCGAAAACTTGTTAACATCGGTCTTTAACAACAGGTTTTTCGCTTGAAATTTTAAACTTTTGATAAAATCAGTGTTTTCTGCAAAATGTATTTGAAAAATTCACCAGTCTAAGGGCAGTAAACCAGAGAGATGCCCGAAAATATAAAGTTTTTAAAACAAAGCCTTTTAGCTGCTTTATAGCGCCAAAGGAAATTTTCCTCAAAAACCCCTCTTGAATTTCAACTTGTGATCTTTGACTTGAACTAAACAATTTCAGTTAAATCTCCCTAAAATTTCAGCCAATAAAGCCGCAACATACACAGAGAGAGAAATTTTACGACATAAAGCAGCTAATTTACCGGCTAAAGAACAAACGCAGAATCCTGAAATTGTTCCGTTCTTGCTCATGGTGCAAAATCAACCTGTTAACACTAAACACCCCATTTCGGGGATTTAATGAGCTGCAGCAGTGAATAAGTCTGGAAATTCCCATTTGGGATCGCCTATAAGCGTCAACATAACTTGGCCCAATTAAGGTCCTGAAAGTTTTATTAAACTTTGAAAAGCCCTAGGAGAGGCGCCTATTAAAGCCTGGTATTTATGGGGTAAATGTGGAAAATCCTTACCGTTTTCTCACTCATTGAAGTGTCGTTTTCTCATACTGATTATCCCGTTTTATACCTGCACAAGTTTGGAAGGACACACCCTTGTTTTATGTCCAAAGGGAGCAAAAACCCTTTGGAAAAAAATCAGCTGGGGGTAGGTTTTTTAATGCGCGTTTAAGGGGCCGCAACTTTAACTGCCACAATAGCGAAACCAAATGGAAAAAAATCAGTTTCTTGCATTAATAACAAAGTTAATTTATAGGTACACTTTTAGATTTGCATTTCTTTTATTAGCTGTTCCCATAGACAAATTTGGCGAATTAGAGATGGCAGAGTTTCAGGAATAATGGGGGTAAAAGACGAGCAAAACGACGCAAAATGATGCAAGATACGTATTAACGTCACGGGTTATTTCACTAAACAGTTCCGCCCAATTTAGCATTTCTGAAAAGGGGGCCCGGGATAATTATTACTAAGAATCCCCAACTCCGAAAGCGACATCACACTAACCACTGGCGCTTAATGGGGCTGTGAAACACCTTTTTATTGCGGAAAAAGGATGCTTAATTTTAGCATTCATTCTTCTGATTTCGGCCACTTAATCTTATTTGCGCTCATTTTTGACAAGCAATTCCGCTCATCCACTTCCATCTTCTGATTAATCCAGATCTGGTCCGTTCCTGAGTTGACGCAATTCCGGCCAATCAACAGACTACTTAATCACGTTGAGCTCATCCATTCATCTCGGCCTTTGGATGTGTTTACATGCCACATTCGTCCCTGTCGCCACACCATCTTTTCCTCGCTAAATTTATCTTTACGAGGAAGCACGATGAACATTATGAATCCCTATCCAGACTACTTCAATTCTTTTGTTCGGCACAATCACCGACTGTTAATTAGATGCAAGTTGCTTGCTGCAACCCGATAAAATTTAAGAAACGCTTCTAAATATTCTAATTGTAAATAAATCTAACGAGTTCACCTCAAAATGCCTTGAATGAACTAAAACTTTTGAAAAATTATGCGCTTTTTCAAAAAACCCCACTAGGAAGATTTCCACAGATTAAGTTCAGGGTGAGCAACAAATCTGCCACGGTCTTTTGCCGATAACTCACCTAAGCTTACAGGAAAATCCTCAGTTCAAGCACAGTTTGAAAGAAAATTTTGTTGTCTTTCACTTCTATGTAGCTCGTTTTCCATCATAACCGCTCAGAGGGAAACTAGGGGCTGAAAATTAGGAGGGTGTTTCGAAAGAA